GATAATGAATCGTCTACATAGAATAATCGATAACTCGTTTAATAATTAATTAATTCAATAGCCAATATAGATTAATTATCAACATAAAATTAATTTAAATATGTATAACATGTATTATTATCTATGCATATAATAAAGTTAGTTACTTTTACCCATCATTTTCTTTGTTTTTTTTAGAATAAAAAATTACTATTTAGCAATTAAAAAAAAAAAGAGTATATTGTAACATTGCGAACAATCATTGAAAGTTAATTGAATCACAAAAAAATGAGATAAATCACAAATAATTTTTATTTCTTCTTTTGTAGTAACTCCAAAAAGTGTTCGAGGGGATGTTTTGAGGGATATTTTTTGTCTATTTTGATGGGTTTTTTTGGGAGATTTTTTTGGTGGTTTTGAATCTGGTATGGGGATGTTTTTGGAGCTTCTTTAGTGGTTCAAATGGCCTTTCCAAAAGAGTTGCTCTGTAAGGGTTTTGGGAGCTGTTGGTAACGATTATGTGGCTAAGTTTATCGAGCTTTGGGGAGGTGTTAGGTCTGTTTTAGGGTTGATTTTAGGCTTATTGTTTTAGGATCTTTTGGGGTTTTTTTGGTGGTTTTGAAGTTGGTTTGCGGGTGTTGTTGGAACTGCTTTGGTGGTTCAAATGACATGTCCAAAAGGGTTGCTCTGTAAGGGTTTTGGGGGCTATTGGTAACGAGCTTGTGGCTGAGTTTAGGGGCTTTGGGTAGGTGTTGGATCTGTTTTGGGGTTGGTTTTAGGCCTATTTTTTTAGGGTGTTTTGGGTGGTTTTGAAGCTGGTTTCTTGGTGTTTTTGGAGCTGCTTTAGTGGTTCAAATGACTTGTCCAAAGGGGTTGCTCGTAAGGGTTTTGGGGGTTGTTGGTAACGGTTTGGTCGAGTTTGAGGGCTTTGGGTAGGTGTTAGGTCTGTTTTGGGATTGGTTTTAGGCCTATTTTTTTAGCGTGTTTTGGAGTTTTCTTTGGATGGTTTTCAAGCTGGTTTAGAGGTGTTTTTGGAGTTGCTTTAGTGGTTTAAATGACCTATCTAAAGGGGTTGTTCTATAAGGGTAGGGGCTATTGGTAATGGTTTCGTGGTCGAGTTTGGGGGCTTTAGGTAGGTGTTAAGTCTGTTTTTGGGTTGGTTTTAGGCCTGTTTTTTAAAGGGTTTTTTAGGGTTTTTTTAGGTGGTTTTGAAGTCGGGTTGCGAGTGTTTTTGGAGCTGCTTTGGTGGTTCAAATGACTCGTCCAAAATAGTTTCTTTGTAAGGGTTTTGAAGGGTCGTTGGTAACTATTTCAAGGCTGAGTTTGGGGGCTTTGGGTAGGTGTAAGGTCCGTTTTGAGGCTATTTTTGAGGGTGTTTGGGGGCTTGTTTATAGCTATTTGAGAGCTAATCTTGGTGCTTTGGGGAAGGTGTTATTTTTTAGGCCATTTTAGAGGAGATCGCCGACAAACCTTTTTAGTTTGGACGGAGACAATCGACCGAGCTTCATCATGTATAAAATCCATCATTTTTTTTATATTTTTTATCATGAAAATTCTTTTTTCACCGGAGCAAGTACATGATTTGTATATTTTATGCGGAGTCAAGTTTTTAAGCTTCAATGCTTACCTTTTATATGGACTTCATCTACAGAAAAAATAATTAAAAGTGATTATCACAGGATGTGAGAAAGGATGTACATCCATTGGTAATATTCAATGGTTCTCTCAAAATTTGATCATCTTGAAATTGATTTGTAAAAAGTGTTTTAAGTTATTGTTTCCTTTTTTATATTTTCATTATGTTAAATATATATATATATATATATATATATATAGCAAAATTTGCTTTTGTGAAAACACAAAAAAGAAAGAAGCCAAAAAAAAAATTCTAAAAATGTAAAAATAATAAAAAGGAGCATAAATTCTATCTCTATTTACAGATTGCACATCTCTTGCAAAATCACAACTCGACCATCACCGATTCACTCGTTGCAATCCCCAACATCATCCCACAAATAATTGAACAACAATTCCGCATGGAAATTTTGAGCTAAAACTCGCGAAAACAATTAAAAAAAGAAGGAAGACATTCTACTTGGAATTCATGGAAACAAAGGCCGATCGGTAGTATACACTTCTATTAATAATAAGATTCACGAAGATGGTAGGTAGCTAGATCTCATCCTCAAACCAAACTAGCCGCATCCGGCAATCTTTGCTAGAGATCGTCAACATTATTTCTTTTAGATGTAGAAGAAACACCGGTGGGCCGATTATTATTATTATTATTGCTATTAGGATGCTTGACGAGAGCGGGAGCATGAGCAATAAAAGCTCGACAAACGGGATGAGTTGGAATTAGAATCGAGCCACATCCGAATACAAAGCAAGCATGAAAGGAGTGCTTGCACACACTTAGTTGCTCCCGTTCTTAATTTTGACATTGAATTTCAAACCGTAAATGATATCACACATTATATATCAAACACAACCCATCAATTGAATGACAAAGAAAAAATTCAAACAACACATTACTCCGCCTCGCCGACGCTAAAAACTTTGGAGGAGCTACGAATGGGTGTAAGCTTCGCCGCTCGAAAACACCTGTGGAGACTTTTTTGTTGGATGAACTAAGGAGGAAAGAAAATTTGTTATGCGAATGGATCAACTAATGCAAGGTTCAATAACTTGATTTTTGCAAATCCGTTATTAATGAGAAAGGATGCACAAGGAAGAGATGATGACAGAGAAAGAACTATAACGAGAGAGAGAGATTGTGTTTGCAGAGAAGGGAACGGCTAAAGGTAAGGGCAAAACCGTGAAAAACAAAAAAAAATACATGTCTCACGTTTTTCTCCCCATTTTCTTCCAATTTTGGGAGGAAAATGGGTCCCACCATTTTTACATTGTTTATTATTTTCTTTTCTTTCCACTACTTTCCTCCCTCTTCCCAAACGGTGGAAACTTTTCTTTTCATCCCCATTTTCTTTCCTCTCCCCCATTTTCCTTCCTATCCAAACAAGGGGTAAGTAAAAAAATATTGTTCCACCATCCGGAAGTATGATAAAATAGTGCATTTGGTTCCCGTCATGGAATATCCAACGTTATTATGCATTGTGATTAAAAAAAAATTAGTATAATACTTGTGATAGTTGAATAAAATTCAAAAAAGTAAAAAAAGAAGAAGAAACTCGTATATTTGGTATTCAATCTCTTATTTTTATTTTGTTCGAGTGCTTATTTTTAATTTAATCTCCCGAGTTACTAATTTTTTTTCTATTTAATTGTTCATTATTAATTCAGTTTGTTAAATACCGATGCATTTGTTATGTCCAATTGAAAAAAGTGAGCTCTAATAGAAAAACTATATATTTTTTGTTTCCAACCTCCTATTGTCTTTTTCCTATTTAAATGCATTATTTTTAATTTTACTTATTTGAGACACCGATCTTTTTATTTTTATTTGAATGCTTGTTGTTAATTTAGTATGTTAGGTGCTAATCCGATCTTAGCTCTAGTAGTTTCATGGTGGTTGACAATAATGAATTTTAGCTTTTTTTTTTTTTTTTTTTTACTCACTCACACATACATCCAAAGCTCATAATAGAATTAGTTTGTTAGGATTTGAACATATAACCTCTTGTTGCAAGAAACCACTACCACCGAACTATAAGCTGAATTTTGACATTAGATGTGAGTTTGATAATGGTTCGAATTTTATTTTATTTTCAAGATACAAGTGTTTAAGACCCAAATATTAGATTTAATTTTTCCTTTTTTTCTTTTATTTTTTTCCTTTAATTTGATTTTTTTTTCATAATTTTAAAGATTAGACACCAAATATAAAATTATCTCAAAAGAAAGAGGTGATAGTCGAAGGTTCCAAGATCTTGTAGTGATATCAAGGGTTAACATGTTAAGAAATTAGAGTACAAATACTTAATTGCCTATTCTTAAAATTGCAGGGACAAAAATATGGCAAAATTCCCCCAAACACTTGTGCAGTTGTGCACGGCACTTAACCCAAACAAGAACGTCGTCGAAAGCCCTAAGCTGACTTTAAGGTCTCGTGTAGGGTGTCGTTAATGGCATTCCTCTTTTTGCTAATGACCCTTCTATTAAATTGCAAGATGACAATATTGTCTCTTCCTTCCATATAAAATTTTATACATTTAATCCAATATTCACGGACAGTTGTCCGATCTTATTTAAGGTCTCGCGTAGGGTGTCGTTAATGCTTCGTTTATTTTTTCTTTACAGGAGATATTTAATATATTGTGCAACAAATAACGTGCTTTATATTTAACAAAATATACGCACAAAATGTAATATTCCTTAAACAATAATCTTAGACTATCACTTAAAAAACTATTTGATTATATTTTTAAGTACAATTATCATGTGTATTTTTTAAATTTGGGGTACACAAATAAATCATTTCTATATTATTAATACAAAATATTTATATTTGTTTTTAATTGGAGTATAAATATAAAATAAATATTTTAGTTTTCTAAATGCTCCATTTATAAACATAAACTGAATATCTTAGGAATAGTAATTTTTATTTTTATTTGAAATGCATTTGTGCAACATATAAAATTTTTGTTATATAATTCACTTTATTTTGATAACATATATTTTGTTCATGATTAAAAAAAAACAGAGAAAATAGATATCCTGTGTTTAATATAAGTCAAGGCATTTATTGAAAAATATATCATAAATATTGAATTAAGTATATAAATCGAGCATTGATTTCAATGAAGGTTAAGGATTCGAACTTGATTATTTTTAAAGGGTACTATTGACATTTCAGATTAAATGGAGGGACAACATTGTTATCTTGCAACTTAAAGAAATGAATAGGGGTGTCGTTAGCGAAAAGAGGAGTGCTACCAGTGGGCCCTTAAAACAGTACGCGTGCATTATCATTGTTTGGATGAAACTTCATTTCTTCTCCGATGCAAAGCAAATTAGTCGTCAGCAGAGACTAAACACCACCAGGCTCACAGTGAAGAATGGCGGCCAATTTCTGGACCTCTTCTCACTAGTAAGTTATTAACGGATCTATATATATGTATATCTTTTGAGGCATTCGTCTCAGGTGTTTATTTACCTGTTGGATTGGGTGCAGCAAGCAGCTTTTTGACCAAGAAGAAGTTGATGTGGTGCACCCACTAGACAAAGAAAAAGGCATAACTCTTGAAGATTTCAAGCTCATTAAGATGCATATGGCCAATTGTACGTTTTTTTTCCTGATATTATTACGTTTATAACTGAGTTTCTTGTTTTGTTAGCTTTCACCTCGGAAATCTGCGTGATTTCTCTGGGTTATCAGATTGCAAATGAAATTCTGCCATATGGGTTTTTCTTGTTTGTTTCTGTAGTTGATGCTTGTGTTTAATTCCTTCCTTGTGATGGACTTGTGCTATTATTGTCTAATTTCTACCTGAAAGCAGTTTTGCATTTGAATTTGATTTTTTTTTTTTTTTTTTTAATCTGGATTTTGGCCCCTGATGTTCCGATAAACTTAGACTCTTGAAATAAATATGTTCCTGTTGTTTTTCTCATCAGAATTTTCGCATTTTCTGTCAGTCCTTAACGATCCAATCCTTACAGCTATTTAATTGAAATCAGCATTTACATATGCCATACACAGTAGATGTTTTTTTTCCCTTCTGTATTCTTCACCATGACATTTGCTGATTCGGGTCTTCCAATTTTCTGTTCACACTCAGATATAGGCAAATTGGCTCAACAAGTTAAAGTGAGGCAAAGGTTTGACCTTTTTGTTCTGAAGTTCTTTATATTGCTCATCTTGTCTTGTCTAGTACCCCATATTTGGAATTCTGAGTAAGATGTTCCGGGCATTTATCATTAGCAATATATATATATATATATATATATATATATATAATTTGAGATTGTATAAAAAAACAGGAATAAATGATTTGGGATTTTCATTTTACCACCCTCACTAAATTGATGGGGGATCTTTTGTTTCCTCTGATTTGGTTTTATAGGGTGTCACTAATTAATTTTATTTTTAAATTATTGTTCGATGTTTCAGGGTTGTTGCTACTGCAGTTGCATATATGAGGCGTGTCTATACCAGGTAGTAAATAATTTCTGATGGTGGGAAAAAGAGTATGGTCATCAATTAGAAGCTTTACTTTAACTTCGCTTCAGAGATCTGAATACTGATTCTTGCAGTATTGTCATTTCTAATCAACTAAAATACTCTTCAATTTTCAATTATATGCGTTCATGAGTAAATTGATACGCCTTTTTTTTTTTTTTTTTTTTGCTTTTCAATATGTATATTTGGCTTGGCCATCCTCCATATTAAGCTGGAAGCTTCTGTCATTGGTGCAATCTCCTTTGTTGCAAGGCCTTGTAGGCCTTCTTCCTGCTGTTTTTCTCACCCATTTCTTCAGATCTCTAATCATCTACTTCACTGTTTTTTCTTCATTAGGTTCTTTAAATCAACAGCCCTCTTACTTTAAAGTGTAATTGTAAAAGCTGATGCATTGCCTAGGAAATAGCCAGTAGATTTTAGACCAAATGTAGTATTGCTCACTAGTCTTAATTTCTCTTTGTGCTTCCAGAAAGAGTATGTCGGAATACGATCCACGTCTTGTAGCCCCAACCTGCTTGTATTTGGCATCAAAAGCAGAAGAGAGCACAGTGCAAGCCAGACTTCTTCCATTTTTCATCAAAAAATTATGTAATCACTCATTAATGGACTTGATTGATTGATTTTGTTGGGTTCTTAAAATTTTTTGGTTATTTGGACTTATATTGACTACTAAAACGCTTACAACTTCACATTGTTGCCTCACAGATTCTGATGACAAGTATAGATATGAAATCAAAGAAATACTTGAGATGGAAATGAAGATTCTGGAAGCTCTTAACTATTATCTAGTGGTATTTCATCCTTATCGTTCATTGCCTCAGTAAGTATTTTATCTTATTTGCCATGTTTTTTGCACATTATAATTCATTTTAAACTGAACGAACAGGTTGCTTGAGTAAGGTTTTTCATGCCACATGCACAATTCTGAAAGAATAAACAATGCCATCAAGTTAAGGATCGAAGCATACCTAAAAATGATTGATTGCTGAATTGGACATGACTAATCATCTGAAATGTTACTAACTACAGAAACATAATTGCCCAAGTTTAGATTAATCACTAGTACTACTAAGCTTTGACAATTCTAATATGATTGGCTGCTGAATTGGTAGTGGTTAGTCATCTTGTATGTTACCAACTACGGAAAACTAATTGCTCAACTTTAGATTCGTTAGTACCACTAAATATCAACGGTTCTGTTTTACTGGTGGTTTACTGTTCTCTTGTGATATTGCAATTTCTATTTTGCAAATTGAAGATCTTATTTCACAAAAAAAATAATAATAAAAAAATAAAAATAAAAATAAAATAAAAATAAAATAAAATTTCACTACGGTGTTTCTTCAATTCTTGGCAGATTTTTGCAGGATGCTGGCATAAACGATATAACTATGATTCAGTTAACATGGTAAGATTCCAATCTCTAAGACCAAGTAAACATCCATCTCTTAGCCTGTAAAAGATCCTTTCTTTTCGTTTGAGTCCTTAAAATATGGGGTGGGTTTTACATAAGCTTGGGCGTGCAAACTACAATCATGTTTGGGAGAGTTGCATATAGATGGTTGACCGTTAACAAGGGTGTAGAGCTAGTTTGTCACTATTTATATAATGTTCTCCTCATGTGGGCCATCATTATGTTCATTGTACATGCACTCTAGTATTTAAAGTTGGTTCGTGAAGGCTGCTTCCTCCCTCCATGGTCACAGTTTCTAATCGTAGGTGATAGTTGAAATTGCTTTGTCCTTTGGAAATGTCTGATAAGTTAAATGTGAGAAGCTGTAGTGGTGAAGAAGGCCATTGCATATTACAGTTTTCTCGCAGGACACCAGTTTTTTTTTTTTTTTTTTTTTCTTTTCCTTCTTTTTTTTGTTTTTACACCAGGCCATAATGGCAAAAACAAGCACCCCTGGGGTTTTCAAGCAGAATAGAATGCCTTGATGATAACTGTGCTTGAGTTGTGAAAAAGCTCCAAAAACAACAGATGTTCTTTCTTTTTTATGTAAAAACTCTGCAGAGTCCTTTTTTTCTTTCTTTATTTCAAATCAGCTGCCTTTAATTGAAGAGTAACTCTGTTGTGTTAGTTTTTCATTCTTTTTTTCTCTTCTTTCTTACTTGTGGACATATTCTTCCTTCATGCTTGCACTTGTGTCATAAGAATATATACTTTTTAATGTCTGCATCATGATTTCTTAATCTTTGATTCAAAATGAATGACCATGCTGAGACATACAGGGGACTTGTGAACGACACCTACAGGATGGATTTGATTCTTATACATCCCCCGCATCTTATTGCTTTAGCCTGCATATACATTGCTAGTGCGTATAGAGAAAAAGATACGACAGCATGGTTTGAAGAGCTCCGCGTAGATATGAATGTGGTGAGTCTTCTAAGCTCAATATTGTGGTCATTTCCTTTTCTTTTCCTTTTTTCTCTTTTCCCATGCTCCCTTATGTTATGATGATAGAATCTTGCACTGAAAATCATGGGGTGGGGGTGGGTTGGGGGGTTGAGTGTGTGGGGTGTCTCCTGCTTTGAAAGATAATTTAGGCATTGTTTTCAATTCAAACATTGGAATTGTCTGATCTTTGTGCTAAATGGTGGATATGGTATTGGGACATGTTACCTAGAAGTTGTTTGTGGACAAATGCATCTTACTTGTGTCAAACCCTTTTTTAAGTGTTGTGCTCAACACCTCCTTTAATGCACAATACGTATCTGGCGATATTGAAATTTAACAAACTGCTGCAAAGCTGCTACATTGCTTTAAATAATGTACCTTTATGTCTGATTTGGCAGGTGAAAAATATTTCTATGGAGATATTAGATTTTTATGAAAGCCATAGATTGATTACAGATGAGAAAGTTACTGCTGCTTTTAACAAACTGAAGCCCTAAATGGTTGGGCGATCCCTCTTCCTCAACTCAAAAGCAATCCAATTCCTCTATGGTGCAGCTCCTATTAAATGCCCAAGGAATCTATGGAAATGAAAATTGTTTAAGACTTATCAAAAGACTGTTCTTTTGGCAGATACGCTGTAAATATTAAAGAGATCCTGTTAGTTAAGATGATCCCTCTTTGTATTCACTTGAGACTACTCCTTGATATGTAAAATTGAATTCATTTCAACTGGTTTATTCTGGAAACCGCAAGCATGCTCATCAGATGCCTGCCTGTTAAAAATTAATGAGCTCAAAGGCACAAAACTGATAATGTTGTCAGTTTTGCAGCATTTTTTGAAACCCTTCTCTTTTATCAAAGTATTTTTCGTTTCCACGAACCACTTTGAAAGATGAAAGTGTGTTTATAACTAGATGCAGCAATGATGTCTGATGAAGACCAATTAGCAGCATAATATAAGCATGGAAGCTGAGTCATTTTGAGATTTTGGAAACCAAAATTACGAAAATACGCAATCGGAAATTCCCAAAATATGAACTGCTGTAAAGGGGTCTATCGTGAATGCACGTTTTATCTACTTTGTAGAAGGAAACCAGATCATACAGGCAGTTGTTTCTTGAGATTGTAGATGTCGCAACTGGTAATTTGGTTCTGTGATTGGCACAAAGGTTGCTTATTGATTCAGCACTCCAGATGCATCATCCACAGATCGTAGACTTAGACAGCGTAGCATTTCTGCTTGCATTACAGAAAAGGTATTCAACTGCTTTAAAATGTAGCATAATCTGTATGTACATGCATAGGATTTTCAGAGAGTAATAGCAGTTCAAGCCAGAAAGAGCCAATGCTAGGTGAATCTCTTTTTGAAATTGAATATGGTGATTCTAATATTGCGACCTGAAAGGGAGGTATCATGCTGCATTAGCCATGTAGAACATGGTCAGGAATTCCTGCTCCCCACATCTCTCATGCCTTGCGTTATTTTGTTCAAGATCATTGATTCCATCTAGTGTCTCTTTTTTCTACACAGAGCAAGTACAGATGAATGAAATTACAAATAAATGATTAGTACATAACAAACAGAAGTCACAATGAAAGAAAAAAAAAACTACCTAATTTTCTCTTAGCTTCAGATCTGGCAAAGAATTCCCTCCATTCATCAGTTAGAACGAAAATTGGGTCGTCGTCTTCTTCCTCTTCTAAAACATCGCACTCTGTCTCTTGCAACACCCTGTTTGTGAGCACGAGATGAGCAATTATAGTTACATGGAAACCAAAATTTATAACTGGTGACGGGTATTTTAAGATCAAATCCAATAAACTAAAATTGAAAAGGAACAGCAGAAGAAGAAGATTGCAGCAATTTACTGGGTAACTGCGGCAGATTTTTCTTTGCTGCCAGTAGCCTCCAAGTTCAAGTCTTTTTGCAATGGATAAGAAATAGTAGGTTCTGGGTTTTGTGCAGGTTGAGGAGCAAACCTAGGACTTACATGCAAAAGACAATTAAATTGGTGGTGGTGCTTCTGTTGAGAACAAAGCTGATGGTGATGATGACGGTGATGATGGTGGTGGTTGTCGTAGGGGTGGTGCCATAAGGGCCGGTGAAACTGGATGAAGGTTCCATTGGTCACTGCATTTGTTGTTTACTAGGGTTTTACAATTTGTAGTACTACTCTGGCGGAAGGGTTTTTCAGAGGAAATGAAATATTGTTTGCACAAATTTTTAATCGAAGTGTCTATTATTATTATTATTATTATTATTATTATCAATCAAATGCCTTATTATTTATTTTTCTATATCTATTTCAGTGTATATATATATATATATTTTTTAATGTTTTCATTGCTAAACTGTTTATGACATTTTTCAAAAAATAGACACGTATTAAAAAATTATGTATTTAATGGAGAAAGAATGGAAGAATTAGATGATAATAAAAGGAGAAATTTTCGTGGCTATATATATATATATATATATATATATATATATATATATATATATATATATATATATATAGGGGAGTTGCTCTTATAGTATAAGACTAGTGTGGGTGTCCAGGCTTCGCTCCAAACAAATTTTAGCATAGTATAGCAGTGTGTTTGGTTTCGTTATAGTAATTTTTTTATTGGATATAATTTTTTTATTTGATATGAGTTCTCTTTTATCTATTATTATTTTTTATTTAATATTATAAAATTTATGAATATTATTATTTGTCTCAATTTAACATAGTGTAAAAATTTTAATTATTGACTAAGAAACACGTAGGTTGAGTTTTAAAATGGGTGAAAAGTTTTAATTGTGCATTAAGAAACATAAATAAATTGTTTCGTAAGTACAAAAATTATAATTATTAACTAAAACACATAGATATATTTGTTCTAGCATAAAAACATATAAATAGGTAGCACTTTCCAGCCTAATTTTTCTTCCTTCTTTTTTCTTCTTCTTCCTTTTTTCGCATTAGACCGAGCTAAGATTAGCTTAATCCAATCACGCATGGATTGGGCTTAGCCCAACCCGTTTCAATTTTAGCTGGACCTAAGCCCACAAATACCAACTAAACCTTCATTTTCTTTTCTTTTTCGGATCAAACCTTCTTTCTTTCTTTTTTGCTTCTTCCTCTCACCCGATTTCTCTCTCTCTCTCCCCTTCGTCTTGTTCTTCCTCCTCCTCTCTCTATCTAGTTCTTCAAAATAAACGAACCGAGACAAATCTCTCTCTCTCCTTCCTTCCCTCACTATCTCTTTATTTTCCTCTCCTCTTCTCCTCTTCCTTTTGCCTATCTCGTCTTCTCCTTCCCTCTCTCTCGCTTGATCTCCATGAAAGAATGAACCGCAGTTCGTCTTTGGTTTGCTCTCTCTCCTTTAATCCTCCTCAAATCTTTCACTCCCTTTATTGATTCTCCATCAAAATCAAAAACCCAAAATTTCTCAAAATTGATCGAACATTAGGTTTCAATTTTTTTTTTCAATTAGACTTAATTGTCATGATTTCTCTTGAAATCAAGCCAATTCAAGCCTATTAGAACCCGATTTCTTGAAAATCCCTAAATTTTATTACCGTTAAAAAAATCCGAAACCCTAGGTTTCAATCTATTTCAATTTAGCCTAAATCCGGGGTTTAATCCCTAAATTGACAACCCTAATACCTTTAATTAGTCTTTCTTCTTCCTTCCCTCAATTTCTTGCTATCTTCCTCTCCTCTTCTCCTTCTTCCTTCCGCCTATCTCGTCTTCTCCTTTCCTTTCCCTGGTTGATCTCCATGAAAGAACGAACCATAGTTTGTCTTTGGTTTGCTCTCTCTCTTTTAATCCTCCTTCAATCTTTTACTCCTCTCGTTAATTCTCCACCGAATCAAAAATTCAAAATTTCTCAAAATTGATTGAACCTTAGGTTTCAATTTTTTTTTCAATTATCCTTAATTGCCATGATTTCTCTTGAAATCAAGTCAATTCAAGCCTATGAGAACCCGATTTCTTGAAAACCCCTAAATTTTATTATTGTTAAAAAAATCCGAAACCCTAGGCTTCAATCTATTTCAATTCGGACTAAATCCGGAGTTTAATCCCTAAATTGACAACCCAAATATCTTTAATTAGTCTTTCTTTCAATCATTCAAATTCAATTTCAATCCAAACTCAAAAATCCTCAAATTTCAAAACCCAAAATCGCTCGAAATCCTAAATACAAAGAAAAATTACATTGATATGATTAATTTACCTAGAGGAATTTAAATTGAGGATGATGGTGAGAGGTATTGCTACTCTAATTAATAGGTAAATCCTTTTCTTCCCTCTCGTGTTTTTTATTTAGTTTCATTTTTTTTCTTCATTTTTTTAAGAACCGACTTCATCTTCTTTGTTTATTGTGGTTTTTATATAGTTGTCAAATTGTTGGTTCTCCATCCGATAATGATGTGGTATTTTTTTACGGGTATGGTATGAGGTGAATTGATAGTAGAATGGGAGGGTGTAGGTAGGGTGGAGGCTAGCAATATGGTGTTTGAATAGGCATGTTAACTTGGGGTGATCGTAAACTCGAAAGGAATATTAGCATATGAATAACAAAATTAGCAAACGAAGAAAGCAATAACGAGTTAGAGAAAAAGAGAAGATAAGAATAGAGTGTCAAAGAGGCGAGAAAAGAGGGTAAAAGGAGCGAGTGGTAACAATGTAATTAGAAAAACAAAGAAGGGCGATAGAGAAACAAAAGGAGACAAAAGCAATCGTAAATCAAAGAAAGAGAAAGAGACCTATGAGGAATATTAGCAGAGTGGAAGGGTGTAGGTAGGGTGGAGGCTAGTGGTATGGTGTTTGAATAAGCACGTTAACTTAGGGCAATTGTAAACCTAGAAGGAATATTAGCATATGAATAACAAAATTAGCAAACAAAGAAAGCAATAACGAGTTAGAGAAAAAGAAAAGATAAGAATAGAGTGTCAAAGAGGCGAGTAAGAGAGGGTAAAAGGAGCAATGGTAACAATGTAATTAGAAAAACAAAAAAGGGCAATAGAGAAACAAAAGGAGAAAGGAGCAATCGTAAATCAAAGAAAGAGAAAGAGACCTGAAGGAATATTAGCAGAGCGGGAGGGTGGAGGCTAGTAGTATGGTGTTTGAATAGGCACGTTAACTTAGGGCAATTATAAACCTAGAAGGAATATTAGCATATGAATAACAAAATTAGCAAACAAAGAAAGCAATAACGAGTTAGAGAAGAAGAGAAGATTAGAATAGAGGGTCAAAGAGGCGAAAGAGAGAGTAAAAGGAGCAATGGCAACAATGTAATTAGAAAAAAATGAGGGCACTAGAGAAATGAAAAGAGAAAAGAGTAACTGCAAATCAAAGAAAGAGAAAAATACCCAAAAGAACGGATGGGCGAGAGAGAAGGCCATGCACAATACATCTATAGTGCATTGAGTCTAAATGAACAGTAGTTGAACAATCAAAATGCTTATTCTTTTAGTTTTATTTGTTAATTCTAGAATTTATTAATGAAATGACTCGAAAATCATTGTTGATTTTTGCTTTTCTCAAATTTGGTCAGATTAAATGCATTACTCATAATATAGTTACATGATGCCTTGTACCTTTTTTTTTTTTTTGGTCATTTAAGGCCCTCTTTTTATTTTTTCTGTCAATTGATGGAGAACCATACTAGTTGAGCTAAGGAAACCAATGTCATGATGATATATGTCAATCTAGCGCTAATCTAAAGTGGATTTTGAAATTTGAAATTCAAGAAAAAAAATCTAAAAAAAGCATAATTAAAAAAAAAAACTATGGATGATGTCAATTTTCTCACCTAAAGTGGATTTTGGTGTAAAAAGATGAAGGTAAGCTCTAAGCAACTCGATGAGTGTGGAAAGATTTCATTGTTAACCTAAAATTTAGGTTATGACAATTACAACAATTTAGTTAATTATTTTTTATTAGTTATTATTTTAGTTTGTTCAAATTGAAAAAAAATCAAGACAAATTAAGGATATAATTGAAAGAAAAGGAATGATACGATTGAAAAATTCAAAAAACGCAAAGACTATTTTATACATTCATAGCCAAAATAATGAATGAATATTCATCGTTTCTTGCAAATCTAAAACTAGAGATGGTTTCAATTGATCTTGGTTTTCTAACTAAATGAGATTCATTCAGCCAACTTAACAATCCAAAGCCCATTGGTCCACAAGTCAAACTGTAAAATTCGAAGAGAATGGGAGCGATAGATGAATAATATAATAGAGATAAAGGTTTTGGGGTTGAAATGATTTATAGGAAAAATGGAAGGGAATAAGAGCGTTAGGTATAAATAAAGTGTTTAGAGATTAGGGAAAGGGGTTGGAGAAAAGAGAAAAGGAAAACATGAGTAGAGAGTGAAAACAAAAAGAAATCGAGGATTTGTATTTCGGGTTTCTCTCGGGTTTATGCTTAAAGTTTTGGGTTTTACGATGAATTTTTAGGTTTTGGTTCTTGGCTTTCTAGGATTCATTCAAGCTTTTTGGGTTTCAAAGAACACCCGAAATCATCTTACAAACATTTGTTCAATCTCTAATCACAATAACAACACATTCATCAATCTTTGATCAAATAGTCCTACATAAGCTCAATACTCTAGTAGCTTTCCATCACCTACAAGTACGGGGACAATCACGGTACCAATACCCAAAATCCAATCATTTTCATCATCAATCATATTTAGGTAACTTGTCAATTGTCCATTTTATTGATCTTGTGTCTATTATTAATTATGATTTCTAGCTTCAAATAGGGAATGTCAATGGTTAATCCACCATTAGATTGAGCCAATGTTGCTTAGTTCCCTTTCGTGTTCTTATTGCTAGACAACAAATACGCTTAATGATTTGATTTCTAGAGGAATGATTATTGGGACTAGAAAAAGTCTAAAAAATGAAATTGAATAAGGAGGTAATGGGTGAGTTAGTTTAGAAGTGAAGAAAGAAAGGAAAGGAAAGAGAGAAAGAGGAAAAGGGTTGAGTTCGAGCTTGACTCAAAAAAGAGAGAGAAAAAAAAAAGGGAAGTGCCCAATAGCCCAACCAGGAAGGGAAAAAGAAAGAAAGAAAGAAGAAGAAGAATAAGTTATTTCCACCCATTCGAGCCTCGCCCAATAGGCTAAAAACAACGGTGGGAACGGACCTACCAACAGGAACTTGAAAAGATGAAAGAAGAAATTATCCGTCCGACTAATATGCTAAAAAAGGCTAAGTTGGCACTACCAAATGGGGAAAGCACTTCAAACCAAGGGCAAGCCCAATGTGACTTGCCATATGCCCTTTCAATGCCAAAACATACAACCCATGCCATTTAATACCCCATCTAACAACTCGACAATGAAGCAATATTTCATGTTGAGACTTTATTTCCTATAAGATCATTTACTTATACAATAAGCCCACAAAGCACCAAGATGTAAGGTATGCTTACCGTAGACCTATTCGGTGATGAGGCCAATAAAGCTAAGATAATGGAAGAGCCTAACATGGATAAGTTATGTGACATTGAAGAACACCTTGAGGTTATTGAAGAAGCCGATATGTATTATAAGAGCGAGTTGAATATTCCTAATACTTGATGTGGTGATTTTCAAAAAATTCAAAGTGTCGAATTCACTAAATACACTAGTACTCGGTATCCTATGACCCATCTAAGGGTTTATTGTAGTAAGATGGTTGAAGTACCATATGATGAGAAATTACCGATACACTTCTTCTATGAGAGCCTATGAGGGTCCGCTTTAACCTAGTATTATTAGTGTAGGTGCTTAAGATTCAATCCGATTTGGATGATTTGATTTATTATGAATTGCAATTTTATATATTAATAAAAGAAGTCTTTTTATTAATTTTTGTTATTTATAATTTAATAGAATTAGATAAAAATCCATATGATATGCATTGCATTAATGATTGATCAATTGATGTGAAACAAATATTGATATGAGATAAACATTGATGCATTTAAATGATATTATTAACTATTTCAAGTCATAGCATTATCAAGAATAGGCGTTGGCTATATGCAGTAAGACCTATGAGTGCTATGCTCATGTTATAAGATAGCAGTAAGAGATCTCATACCTATTGGCATGATGATACCAAAATAAGCACTTAGATAATTAATGTTAAAGAACATATCACTAGAAGGTGACTTACTATGAGAAGCCATTTGGTTTAGTCTATAAGATTCTCATATGAGATGGGTACAACTGATCCTTTGATTAAAGTCATTATGTTTTTCTCATTAGAGGATTTATGTACTTTAACACTTGTTTCGATGAGCTCGATCAAGAGCTATATGTGGGTGATTCATTAGGTGCACTAAAAATCTAATAGAGATAGGTGGATAACCGAGATAGGATATGTCTTTCCTTATATTCTAAAGGAGTTATCACATTGTACTTTAATAAATATTTGTTGAAGAAATATGTGGCCATAGTAGGATTATACCAATAGAGTATAGTTGGTTTACTTATGAGCTAAGACATTTGGAGATCGAAGAAAGCTTATATAATCATAATCAAATAGATTATAAACCAAATTTGAGATCACACTATGATAAACTAACATGAGGACTAAATTATATGAAAACCATGCTTATAAAAGATAATTATGAATTAATTAATCCTTATAGAGAATTGAATAATCATGCTACCTTACTAGAGACCAATCTTGATTTATGTAACAAGAGAAAAAAGAGGTATCTTTACTTTTTATACGTTACCAATATATCTAAGAGCCTATTTAGTCACATGCATAAGTTTAAATATTCATATAATAAAAAAGAAGCAAGAGTTATTGGAAAAAGTTTTCTATTTTAGAAAGTTTACTATTTTGGAAAATTAGTTTCCTAAAATGGAAATCAATTTCCTATTTTAGAAATCAGTTTCCTAATTTAGAAGTCGGTTCCAAATTTGAAAGACAGCTTACCTAAAATGAAAATTAGTTTCCTAATATGGGCTCCATAAAATACTTGACCTAATTTATTTGGATGTTCCAAATTAATAGGTAATTATTTGGGCAAAAATTTTTATTTAATTTAAAATTCTGTAAGATATTTTGATAGAGGGATAAATTTAAGCATTATTAGAGAAGGCTCGGGTTTTACATGGATAAGGTTAGACAAAACCCACATAAACAACATCTCCTTAACTTATAAAGAGAGGATGCCACTATTTATACATAAAGAGGGAAGAGAGACACTAATGTGCACTAATAAAATAACCAATAGAAAACATTTCTCCCAAAAAGAAAAAGGTTGATTCATCTATCCCTAGAAAAACTAAAGTTAACACGAGAATCCTACTTGATTTCTTTTAGAGAAAAATTCATATACGGAATAGTTGGAGTTAGGACATGACGATTTTTATAGCTTCTTGTGTGACTCGTTTGAGCTATGTGGATAACCAATAGAGGCTGAACACTTGGACGGTTCCTTTTCACATAGATTGATTCTACGCTATAAGAGGTAATCACTCACTATAATCTTATTGATGTTTATACATGATTACTTAATTCAATGGCATGATCTTTGAAACCCTAAATAGAGAAAAAAATTTATTCTGCACTTTCATAAGATGTATGATCTTTTAGTTAATCGCTTAGGCATGGTTGTCTAACGATCATCTTATTTCCAAGAAGCGTTACCTAATTTAGTTTGTCGCTTAGGCAAGTTCGTCAAACGATCTTCTCATTTTCGAGCGATTACCTAATTTAGTTCATCGCTTACTAGGGTTACCTAGCAATCATCTCTCATTTTAGGTAAAATTACCTATCTAGTTTATTGTTTTAGGAAGAGTTACCTAGCAACTTTTGCATTTTAATTTTTAGAATACACAACTCTTGACAATAAGACCATCATATTATATTTTTAATTTTCAAAGCGAGCCGCCCTTGACAATGAGGTCATTGCACTCGCATTTTATTTTTTTAAGACAAACCACCTTTGACAACAAAACCGTCGCATCACATCCCACTTTTACAAACCAAACTATCCACATTAGACAAACCATTTTGTCAATAAATTCATTTTTATTTTGGTCTTTACAAACTTACTAAGCTAACCTAATCGAATTTCGCACTTTAGCTAAGCTTCGCACTCGAGTATTATAAAGAATGAGCAACTCGTCATAACTCAAAATTTAGGTTATTCTTTTCCTTAAGTTTTATCCATTTTTTTATTATTATAGTTAATTCTTTTTTATTAGTTATTATTTTGGTTTGTTCTTTTTTTTTTATGTCATTTTCCATTTCTTCATTTCATTTTAGGTTCATATATATATAGCTATTCTATTTTCTTTTATATATCCTATTTTAGTACATATTATAAAAAAATAATATGAAAAGGAAAAATATATAATCCAAAAAAAAAACATAAATTGCAAAAATTGATGGATGAATTTAATCAAGGGTCATGATTGCATTAAATCAATTCAAAATTGGAAGCTAATAGGGGCCAAATTAAAAAAAAAATCAAGATGAATTAAGGACATAATTGAAAGGAAATGGAGGATATGATTGAAAAATTCAAGAAGTATGAAGGTCGTTTTATACATTTACGAGTCGAAATAGTGAATGTTCATTGTTTTCTACAAATAAAAAATGAGAGATAGTTTCAATTGATCCTAGTTTTCTAACTGAATGAGAATTGTTCAACAAGTTCAAGTAATCCAAGTCCTTTAGTACGTAAGTCACGCTCGTAAAATTTAGACAAAATGGGAGTGTTAGATGAATAACAAAATAGAGAGAGAGAGAGAGAGAGAGAGAGAGAGAGAGAGAGAGAGAGAGAGAGGGGTTTTGGGGTTGAAACTATTTACAAAAATAAAAAATAAAAAAACAGAAGGGAATAAAAGAATCGGGTATAAGACTATGTTTGTTTTGGGGAAAACAAGTCCTACGAACTTGTTTTTCCTATTTTTTAGTGTTTGTTTTGCATTTAGGAAAAAAGTCAACGAAAAAAAGATTTCCAGTAAACAAAAAATGATAGAGTATTTTTGAGAAAATGTTTTTCCATTTTCAAAAGAGGAAAACATTTTCTTTCTCATGAGTTGTCTTGCTCTTGCGTTACTTACCTCTCTCTCTCGATATATTTTAATAATTTTTTCTCTATCTTCTTTTTATTTAAAATATATCGGATTAATTTTTAATTATTCCTTATCAATTACTATTGATTATTTAATTATCTTTTCTCTATTTTTACTAATATTTGATTTTTTTATTTATAGATACATTAAATATTCTTAAAAATCATTTTTACATCTTAAAATTATTTTTATAATAAATATTTTAATAATTTATTTCTATTTCGTTACTATTATTTCAAACACCACCTAAACTATACTTAAATGATTGGAAATGATTATTACAAAACTATAAAAAAAATTAAAAAAAATTAAAATTAATTAATTCGTCAATAAATATATTATTTTTCCAACACTATTCATTTATAATTAAATCAATAATTTATAATTTTAATTAATTGTAAAATTTTATTGGTAATTATAGTGAATAATTAGTTATAAATTATTCTAACATTAATCTTTTGAGACCAAATGAATAATTATCTATAAATGACAACTAATACTTTATAAAACTATTTTTCGGACTAAATTATCAATTCAATTTCTAAAAAAAAAAAAAATTTAATTGAGATGCCAAAATAACAATGCTAGAATTACAT